GCACAGGTAATGGGGAAAAAAATAAGAACCAAGATACATCATGTGCAAGTACAAACACCCAATGATAAATGTAAACTATTGTACACCTAAAATGTACCAATAAAAGAATTTAAAAAATAGATAAGGGAGCTGAACATGGTGGTGCACACCTGTAATCCTAGCACCAGGGAGGCTGAGGCAGGAGGATCACTGTGAATTCAAGGCCAACCTGAGCTACACAGTAAAAGTTCAAGGCCAGCCTGAACTATGTAGTAACACCCTGTCTCAAAAACCAAAAATTTTTTTTAAAGTTTATAACATTTAGGCCACTGTTTTCTCTCTTTAATCTTGGCCCACCCTCACAGTGTAGGGTATGCTTCTTTCCCTGCTTTTACTTGGCCCAAACTTGCCCCGCAGAACCTATTTCTTTTTCTACCTTTAATAAAACTTTGCTATCATTAAAAAAATTTATAGCATTTAAACTTAAAGAATTTAAATTGTGGCCATGATAAAAATGTTTTTCCAGTATTTTATTTTGGCCCCTACATTACAAAATTGTATATAACATATTCTTATTCTAAATGAAAACTAGCTACTGTAAACAAATAATGTTCTAAGGATAACAGAAATGAAGCCTTTTATAGCCATTTATTCAGCTATTTATTCAACAAACATTTGTGAATGGCATATAAATCTATATACCTATAAACCAAGCTAGGAGATACAGAAATAAAGACATGATCCCAAAAAAGCAGCATCTAAAACTAAATAGACAAAAATAATAGTCTAAAAACGATATAGTCTAATAATTATATGACAGAGAAAAATCTCAGGATGGAGGAGCACAGACTTAGGAAAATAGGAAAGGGATGAAGAAAGGGGAGGCAATATAGAGTCCATCAAAAAATGTATACGGGGGGGGGGGGGGACAGACAGCTGTGCAGCTCAGGCTGCAGCACGCAGACACCTGCCCGCCTCCTGAGGGCTGGGCGAGGCCTGCTCTGCGCTCTCCGAATCCATCTGCCCCCGCACACCGGGTCCCTGCCCGCGGGAAGAAGGTGTCCTGGATCATCTCCCGAGCTGTCGTGCTGGTGTTTGGGATGCTTTATCCTGCATATTATTCATACAAAATTGTGAAGACAAAAAACCCAATTCAGAACAATGGCACATGAGAAACCAGATTTGCAAGTTTTGGAGAAGGCCAAAAGTGTATCATCAGATTACTCACGCATGGATGATGATGATTCATTATGGTAAAATACATGTTTTCATAACAGAAGAGTAGTGTTGGGTATATTATGATGTTGACTTTGACATTGGCCATATGAGCCAAAGTTCCCATGACAATGAAATGGAGCAAGAATCGACTGATACAGATACAGGGAATCCAAACCTCCTTTATTCAGATGAGGAAGAAAATAGCAATGTTAGTACATAGCTGACTAGTCGGAATGTTGTAAAATGGCCACACAACCAAATAGAACGATCCAATGTTAGAACTAAGTCTTAAAATATAGTGAGGGTCTTGGCAGGTGTGAAATGTAAAGGACAGAATGCCAGCACTGCCATTCAGTATTGGAAACTGCAACAGAGGAAATGCTACAAGATGCTATGAAATACACAAAGGCTGAAATGAAAGTAAAACATTCTGAATGCATAGAATTCAAAACTGTATTTATTATGACACTTTATTAGCTGAACTGAAAGCATTTATAGGTCTGCTGTACTTAGCAGAGATTTCTCATGGTAATTGCAAGAAAGTAAAAGATTAATGGAAAAGCAGTGGGTCAAAATATGGCATAAAAATTTATGCTCTTGCAGATGCAAATTATTATGCTTTCAATTTAAGACATTCATCCTGGAACTCAGCCATCAGGTCCTTATTTGTATAATAATAAACCAAATGATGTTGTGAACAGATTTGTTGCTCCCATCTCCCAAACTAATTGGAATGTGATATTCAACAATTAGTTTACCAGTTTCCAGTTGATGTTACATTTTCTAACAGAGCACAAGTTGACCAATGCGGGAACTGTATGCAGAAACAAAGCAGAAATTCCAAATGAAATGTTGCAATTTCAAAACAGAGAATTGTATAGTACAGTCTTTGGATTTCAGAAAGATTTACATTGGCCTCATACATGTCAAAGAAAAACAAACTGGTACTACTGACATGAACATTGCACCATCATGAAAATATGATATGGAAACCTCAACAAAACAAAAGGCTGAGATGGAAACTTTCTATAACAAAACCAAAGGTGGAGTAAATTTTGTTGATGAATAATGCAGCAACTGAAATGTCACTCGAAACACAAAGCATTGGCCAATGGCTGTGTTTTACTCAACCCTAAACGTGTGGCATAAAGAGTTTGATAGTTAACAAAGAAAATAACAAGTACAAAATGTTACGGAAAAATTTTCTTAGAGGATTGAGACTGGAACTCATAAGGGATCATTTACAGCAGAGGAAAAACAGAATGTTTCAGGTCAGGGAACTACACACAAAAAAATTGTGGAGCACACTGGTGAGCTGACAGGTGCAGCATCACAAAGACTTACTAAGACAAAAAGAAAACCAGAAAGATGTCAACTGTGCCCTATAAGAAAGGACAGGGAAGCAAAACATGCGTGGTATCAATATAAGCGATACTTATGTATGGAACACGCAGTTGTCATGCGTGAAGACTGCTTTGGGAGTGATAGATGAAGCAAAGATTATTTCTGTGGTAGAGTTTTGTTTGTGTTTACATTGTAGTCCACATAGGTTTTTATTTCTGCTGTTATCTCTAGGTTTTGTGGGCAAGTAAACAGCTGATATGAAAATGTTGATGTCTATTGTAAACACTCATTACATATTTAATATTTTATTTTACTGATATTGTATTTCCCTGCTAAGTGAATGTTATGCAATGTAGTAGGAAGTTCCTGACAAAACAGGAAGAGGAGAGAGGTGACAAGACTACCACACAGGAAAGGAAAGCTAAGAACATATGCTATCAGTGTAAGCAAGATGTGTGCATGGAACGTACAGTTGTCAGGTGTGAAGACTGCCTCGGGGTGACAATTGAAGGAAAGATTATTTTTGTTGTAGAATTCTATTGGTATTTTCATTGTTGTTCATATAGGAATTTATTTCTGATGTTATAGGTTTTCTAAGCAAGTACACAGCTGATGTGAAATTGTTGATGTCTGTTCTAAATGCACAATACATACTAAGAATTTAATACCTGGCCGGGGATTTAGCTCAGCGGCACCACACCTGCCTTGCAAGCGCAAGGTCCTGAGTTTGATCCCCAGTACGAAAAAAAAAAAAAGAATTTAATACTTTATGTTCCTGTTAACTACACACTGTATAATAGAAAACTCCTGAAAAAACAGCTAGACCAATGAGATATCAAGTATGTCCTACAAAAAGGCAAGGAAAGCAAAACACATGTGCTGTCAGTGTAAGCAACACGTGTGTATGGAACATGGCATGTGTGTAGACTGCCTTAGGTGTGATAATTGAAGATTTTTTTTTGGTAAATTGCTGTTGGTACTTTCATTGTAGTTCAAACAAGAATTTATTTGTGTTATTCTTTTTTAGACTTTGTCTACCAAAAAACAGTCGATGTTGAAAATTTTGATGCTTTTTTATAAACACTCAATAAATATGAAAAATTCAGCAAAAATGTATACACACTTCATGAAAAGAAAAATAGTATGATGTTTCTTCAAAAGATGGTTTTACCCTCATATAGGGAACACTAGAGGATGTCATACATCACCAGAAAACCTACTACACTTCTTCCCTTCGAGAAGAAATTGAAAATGCATGTGCAGCAATCTCAATGACCAAGGTTACTCAAGCAGCAGTTCAGTGTACTAATAAATGTCTGGAAGCTAAAGGCCACCACTTTGAGCACCTCTTTTAATTAAAGGGGCCAAAAGTAACGTGTATTAATCTCAGAATGTCTCATAAATTCAGTATTAAAATATTTATGCAAGTTTTTCTTTTCCTGAAGAGTGTGCACATTTTTTTTGGTGGACTCTATAGTTCAGCTGAATTTTCAAGGAAAATGTAAGTGAGGTAGGTAAAGAAGAGGAAAATGTTCAAGGCAGGAAATGCTACACATTCAAAGAAATGAAGATATGAGAAGACAAATTATTAAGAAGATTCTGTAGGATGTAAAAATGGAGTGTGAAGGAGGAAGGGCAAAAAATAAGGCTTCAGAAGCAGATGAGGATCAGCTCTCAAGAGGCAGTAGAGGCTGTGTTAAGGGATCTCATTATAAGAGGAAGAAGGCTTCAAAGGAAGTATTTTTTTGTTTTAAAGTGAAGGTATGTGTTTTAGAATCTTCATTCTAATAGCAAGATATAGGCTGGGACAGAGGAACTCTATTATATTGATTCAAGTAGGAGATAATGAAGGTCAGAACTGAGGCTACTATAACAGAAAGGGTGGGATGAGTAAATAAGTGAAGAAAGAGCAAGAGAAAAAAGACAGAAACACTCTCAAGGAGGAAAAAATCAATAGTTCTTTGGAATTGACTGAATATAGAAGATGCAAGAATTATAAAAAGAAAATCCTTTCCTCATTATCTGGAAAGATGGAGACTATTTTATATTATTTATAATGTATAATATCAGAGCTTTAAAGCTAAAAAAAATAATTTTGTGTATTTATTCTATGAAGACATCATACAGAATCTTCATAAAATGGAATTGTTCAGTTTTCCTTCCACGACTTACATTTTTCTTATTCCTGAAGTAATATTTTAGGGTGAGAAATCCACTGAATATCTCTTTTCCCTCTGCACAGTGAACCCTCAAGTTACGACCAGGCTGACATATGAGCAACTTGCGTTAATTAGGTTAATGGAATATTTATCAGCCTCTTGTTATCTATAGCATGTACCCAGGTAAACATCCAGATCTCAGCTGTATTGACTTACAACCAATCTTAGTTACAACCAGCCCTTGAGAACCAATCAAGTTTGTAAGTCAAGGGTCCACTGTAGCCAGGGATTTAGCTCAGTAGCACCACGCCTGCCTCACAAGTGCAAGGTCCTGAGTTCGATCCCTGGTAGCCCCCCAAAAAAGTCAAAGGTCCACTGTATATTAATATATTTATTTATCTGTAAGTATGTACGTGTGATGTGTTTGTGTGTGATGGTGTCATTTCAACAGTAGTCCTCAAAATGATATTTAAATGTCCCAGGAATTTATGAACATGGTCCTATAGGGAAAAAGTCTTTGAAGATGTAATTAAGGATCTTGAGATGAGGAGGTCATTCTGGATCATCCAGTAGGCACTAAATCCAAAACTCCAAGTGATTATAAGTGTCACTTAGAGGGGGAGACACAGAGTAGAAGGTTATATGATACTGGAAGAAGAGATGTGAAGTTAATGCAGCCACAAACCAAGGAATTCCTGGAGCCATTAGAATCTGGAAGAGGTTAGGAAAGATTCTCCCTTAGAGTTTCAAAGGAAGCATAGCCCTGCCAACATCTTGATTTCAGATTTACAGCCCCCAAAACTGAGAATAAATTTCTGTTGTTTTAACCCATCAAGTTTGGGGTAATTTATGACGGCCTGAGGGAACTAACACAATATATAATTTTCTTATAAAATACTAAATACACATGTGAGCTTATAAAGTCATATGTTTTAAATATTTTTAAAAGGTAAAAGATTCTTTGGATTTTTAAAGCTTTAAATACAATGGTTTGATACAAATAGTTTAGCTGGAATAAATTTACCTTCTAAGTTATTCAGCTGTAACTTGAGCAATATAAAACAAAACAGGGATACTAAATTGTAAAGAGAAAAGTAGTTTTAGTTATGATTGTGACTTTAAACTTAGTTAAGTGAGTGGAAACAAAAGAAAATTGAGTGGATCAAAGAATTATAGTATTACCTTGCAATTTTTCTTACGAAACTTTAAAGAAGGTATTATTAACCAGTCAAAAAGTCCTCTCAGAAGAGCTTGGTGTTCTGGTTCACATAAAGGTTCTTTGAGTGAATTCAACCATGAAGACACGAGTGGTTCCCATCCTAACTGTGAGGGCTCCAAATAAATCATGCCACAACGACTTACAGTGGCAGGCTAGAGAAAAAAAGACAAGTTTTGTTTACTCACAGTTGCATTTATACCAGTGGTATCTAGCAATTACCAACTATTTCTCAGTATGACTTGTATGGCCCTTCATGATCTGGCTTCTGTCTTCCTCTACAGCCTCACATGCACTAGATGTTCCCCACACAGAAAACTAATTTTAGTTCTGTTTCTTGGGCATTTCATGGGTCCATGTCCTTCTTTATTCATCATCTTGTCATGATTTGGAATGCCCAGGCCCAGCCAATCTCCCTGGATAAGTCATATCTTCTTCAAAATAAAATCAAAGGTCTGGGGATTTAGCTCAGTGGTTCCAGCACCTGCTGTGCAAGCACAAGGTCCCGAGTTCAATCCCTGGTACCAACAAAACAAAACAAAATAAAATCAAACACTCAAACACCTTCCATGGTCCTTCTCTGTTCAATCCCCTTGTGGATGTCCAATTCAGTCCTTACTCTTAGTGTGCTTACCTGTAACTGTGTGTTGGGATTTATCAGCATGCTTCTTGTCCTTCCTAGCCTTATACCATGTCTTATTCATCTTTGTATTCCCAGCTCCACACCCACTTTGTGACACATACTAAAAGCTACTTTTGACTAAATTAATGAATAAACAAGTGAACAAATGGACAAACACATAAACTACTATTGTATTAAATTAGGAACTTACTGAGGCCTGGGAAAGGTCCATTGTTTCAAAGATGAGACTCATTTGAGGGGACATCTGAATGATTTCTCCACTCATAAGACAAAGCTAAAGGCAATTATTTTTCAAATATTAAAAAATATTTCAAATTTCTCAAAAAACTTATTTTTCTTACAATAAAAAGTATCTTCTGTGATATAATGGAATATTAGAATGGGAGCCAGAAAATCTTGGTCTAGCTCTGGTTTGTTATATCTCTTTTAATCTAAAACATTTCTTCTTTTAAAAAGAATTAAGATGTGTTATGTACATGTACCAACTCCCCATGATAAATGTAATCATTATGTACTGCAAACATTTACATAATAAAAAATTTTAAAACACTTCCTCTTTATCAAGTATGTCAAAAACTGAATTTAACTGATTTCTTTTTCTTAAATTCTTATCTTGTCCATTATTATTAAAGCTATTCTATCTTCTCCCATCTCCTTATCTTGTACTTTTAGAATTATCATTAACTTTTTTTTAAATTAAATTCTTTTATTGGTACATTGTAGGTATACAACACAGTTACATTTCTCATTGAGAATTGTACTTTTACATAATGCATCTTGGTTCGTATTTTTTCCCCATTCCTAGCCCTCCCTTCACCCCCTCCACTCTTCCCTATTTACAAAGACTTTATTTCCATTTTTTCCATTTCTCAGCATTTTTCCTTTCCCTTCTTTCCTTTCCCCTGCCCCTCCAACTACCCCTACCCCTTTGGACCTTTTCTTCCTATTTTACATTATCGATTATTCATTCTAATCATTGGTACATTTTAGGTATACAATAAAATGACATTCATCATTGGAAATTTGCACCTTTACATAGTCTCTCTTGGTTCTTATTTTTCACCCTTGCCCAGCCCTCCCTTCAACCCCTCCATTCCTCCCTATTTTCAAAGATTTTGTTCCTATTTTTCCATTTTCTCATATTAATCCCATTTCCTTCTATCCTTTCCCCTAGCCCTCCCACTTCCTTCCCCTTTGCCCCTTTTCTTCCTATTTCACATGACCTATTATACATTTTAGTCCTTATTTACTCTTTCAGTTTCTCTCACCAGAGAAACTATTTGGTATTTATACATGTGTGTCCTATTTATTTCACTTAAGAGTATCGCCTCAATGTGCATCTATTTAGCTATAAACGTCTCTAATTTCTCATTTTTTATGGCTGAGTAGTACTCCATTTTATAAAAAAAAACACATTTTCTTTATCCAGTCTCCAGTTGATGGGCATTTGGGCTGTTTCCAAGTTTTAGCTATCACAAACTGTGCTGCTATGAAAATGGGCGCACATATATCACTGTGGTAGGATTCTTTTAATTCTTTGGGGAAGATCTCCAGCAGTGGAATAGCAGGGTCAAATGGGACTTCCAGTCCTAGTTCTTTGAGGTATCTCCATACTGATTTCCACAGTGCTTGCACCAGTCTACACTCCCACCAGCAGTGGAGCAGGGTTCCTCTTTCCCCACAGCCCCGCCAGCATTTGTTGTTGGTTGATTTCATGATAGCAGCCATTCTTTCTGGAGTGAAGTGGAATCTCAGTTTCATTTGCATCTCTCGAATGACCAGTGATGTTGAACATTTTTTCATGTATTTATTTGCTATTTCTACTTCTTTGTGTGAGAAATGTCTGTTCATCTCAGATGCCCATTTTCGGATTGGGTCTTTAAATTTCAGATTAAAGATCTAAATATTAAAATAGAAACTCTGAACCAGTTGGAACAGAGGTTAGGTAGAACCCTTGAAGACATCAGTGTAGGAAAAGATTTTATGAACAAAACCTCAGTTGCCCGTGAACTAGCACAAACAATCAACAAGTGGGATCTCTTCTTATTAAAATGCTTCTGCACAGCAAGAGAAACCACCAGCAGTGTGAAGAGACAACCCACAATGTGGGAAAAAATCTTCACCTGCTCTTCCTCAGACAAAGGTCTACTATCTCGAATCTATAAAGAACTTAAAAAGATCAGACCTCCCAAATTTAAAGACCCAATCCGAAAACCTCCTATCATTAACTTTTAATAGTTTTAATGATTATTATTATGATTAACTTGATATACCAAATTAAGCACTGCTGGGTCTTTAAAATTCTTCCTCTATATTTATTTCTAAGTGTTTCCTCTCTACTTTTTTTTTTTGGTACCGGGGTTCAAACTTGGGTCCTTGCACTTGCGCAGCAGGTGGCGAAACCACTGAGCTAAACCTCCAGCCCTCCTCTCCACTTCTACAACCCTCACTCTAGCCCCAGTTTTACCCCTATTTATATGTCAACAATTAGGCACTTAACATCTTTGGAATCAGCTTTTTAGATATAAAATAAATGAACAGTTTAGAGCTAGATTAACTGGTACGGGTAGCCACTAGCCATATGTAGCTATTCACATTTAATTTTAATGAAATTTAAAATTCAGTTCTTCAATTTCACTAAACTGTACTTCAAATGCTCAAGAACTCCATGTGAATAGTGGCTATCTTATTAGATAGTGCAGATATTCCATAACTGAAGAAAGCTCTACTGGATAATGTGGGTCTAGGCTACTTTTAATCATCTACCAGATTATTTCAGCAAAACTCTTTATCTGCCATCAATTTGGGAGGTGGAATCAGCATTTCCCTCACTTTACTACGGTGTCTCCAAACCACTTCTATTCCACCATCAAGTACAACCCTTTACCCTTTTCCAGCCTCTGCAGTTGCTGTCACTCATCAGCACTCAAGGATTCTCCTCTCGTTAGCTTTCTCTTCTATAGCACTGGCGTGATCCAGTGTTCATGAGGATGAACATCTCAACATAATAGCCCTTCAGGTCTTTGACCACCTTCTTTTCACTTATTTTTCTCTTACTCAACTCCAGCCATCTATTTCATGTATCTGAAAACGTTTCTACTGAAACACTACATAATTCTGAAATATTAAATTCAAACATCTTGGTCTCTGCTTCACAGCTTCCCCAATCTATCCAGCTCTCTTGCTCACTATCACCTTATACACTTGCTCTTCATTTTCATTAGGACATTCCAGTGTTTCTCTTCAATACGGCCCCCAGGGTTACCCAGATATGCTCCTATGTTTTTCTTTGCAGATATCTTTCCCATTTTTCATAATGGCTAATTTAAACCACATTCTTTCTCCTCAAGTCTTCAAAGAACTGGGTTCTATCATTTCACAAATAAAAGAGAAGTAATCAGAGGATTTGTCTTTAAATTTCCACTATCAAATCTATATATCTAAATTTCCCTTTCATACTTCCCTCTCAGCTAATATGAGACAACCCTTCTACTTGGCTCTGAGCCTTAGACATTGATTGTTGAAGTGCAACATCAATATCTCATTATACATTGATTTTAAAGAAATGGAAAACACTAAAGAATATGATTCCATTAACAAGAAGCTCAGGACCTGCAAAATTCATTTATCACATAAGTGAGAATAGTGATTATCACTGAGGGAGGATGTACAGACTGATAAGATGCATGAGTGAACTTTGTAAGAAATTTTATGTATTTTTATTTAGGTCACAGTTATGTTGAATCTATATATACACTAAAAAAATCACAAAATCTGTACTTATAATTAGTGTATACTTTGATACTATATATATTCTCTCAAATGAAATAAATATTAATAGGCTTTTATTTCCTAATTCTTTTATTTCATACCTCCTAAGGTCATATATTACATATGAGCACTGAAGCATTCAATATTTTGAAAAGAAATGAGACCCTTTTATTTTCTCTTAAAATATTAAAGTTTTATAAGAAATTATAAGACTGAAAGTACTTAGTAGAATACTAGGCTTCCCTGTTAACACAGAATTTTTAATACCATACTTTAATTTTATGAAAAAAAGCCTACCTCACAGTTTTCATTAAAATGATGACTTATAAACCTATTCAATCTATTGTACTATTTGAAATATATAATCCTAGTTGATTAGTTGTTGAACATATAAAATTGCTTAATCATATCTGAATATGATCTGCTTTTTATCATGATGTACCTTTTTATTGTCATCCAGCACTGTGTTCATACTCTCTATCCACAAAGTGTCAACAGGACCATCAAATACAACCCATTTCCGGTCAGGTGTTTCTGATAAGGCAAATTCTCTAAAAGTGTTTGCCACAATACCATCAGTCCACTGAGGGGAAAAAAAAAGAGTTGAAAATCTCTGCTAAATTGGATTTAGCAGAAAAAACAAAAACATTTTAAATTTCTTGCTTTAATATGCACTGTCAGTAGGAGAGTTGATAAATTATACTATAGATTACCTCATGAGACACTGGGTCAAACTGCCCAAAAAGTTGGCCCATAGTAATTGATTTGGGATTTACAGTCCTATAAATGACCTTTTCTTCCTCTCCATATCCATATTCATTCATCAGAGTTAAAGTATCGGCCAGAACATGCAGAACTTTTGTCTTGGCAGCAAAAGGCTCTCCTACTAACATAAAACTATTAAAGAAGCAATGATACAGTAAGATTCTAAAAAATAATGGTAAATTAAATTATGTACCCTATGATAATTGCTATATATAATTTTCAAAATTATATGACATTTTCTTGGACATGACAAAAACATATATAACTTCTAAACTGGTTCACATATCAAATTTTCCACATTACTGTAATACAATTATCTATAAAAGAGAATATAATAAAAAGCCTCTAAAATGAAATAGCCTAGCCCATCCTTAATGATAGCTATTGGTACCTAGAAAGGAGGAAGGTGTTCTGGACATAATAAAAAAAGACAACATATGGCACTGGTTTGGTGGCAAATTAAGAGGTATTAGAAGCTAAAAGATTGATTACTGCTATGGAATGATAAAATACTTAGATCCCTTTAGATAACCTGGAAAACAAACATACATAGTGAAATTAGAATTTTAGGGTAAATGGATAGTAAATAGAACATTAATAATACAATATATAATGGGAATTGTTGGACTTTACAACCCAGGAAAAAAATGCCTGTCTGAAAGCAAGAATGAAAGAGAACAGGAGTCCAGAAATTCAGAGACTTGTGGGATTTAATAAAGCAATTTATTAACCTCATTTGGTAGAAGAAAACCACTGAACACAAAGATCTATTAAAACTCAGCTTGGCAGCAAGGATCGAACCAAGAATAGGGCTATTGCATCACATTATTAGAATCTGTGAAGGACTAATGTCATTCCCAGTATAGCAGTCCCCTTTCCATCAGGACGTTATAAAACCACCAGTTGATACCTGAAACCATGGGTAATATCAAACCCTATATAATACTATGTTTTTCCCTACATATCCAAACTATAATAAGGTTTAATTTGTACATTGGATATAGTAGAGGATTAACAATAACTAATAATAACAGAACAATTATAATAATATATTGTAATAAAATTCTATTACTATGCTTTTTCTCAAAGTATGGAATTTTCTTTTTAAGATTTTTGGGCTGCTGTTGAAAGTGGGTAACTGAACCAGTAGAAAATAAAATTGCAGATAAGAGGTCACAACTATAATTATTTCCAGAGGTCAAAATAATTCAGGGAAAATAAACTAAGGGTATGGTCCTCTCAAATAAGCCTATTAAGTTTAAAGCTATTACAAGGAAATTTATAAAGATACAACTTAGTAAGGACCATGGATATGGCTACATGCACATGGAGCTTCCTGGGAAAAAAAAGATAAAAAGTTGATTAAACTTTTGAGGGAAATTACTAACAATCCTCCTTCCAAGACAACCCTGAGAAATAAATGAATGTTCAAGTTTTAAAACAATTCTTGTATATTAGATGCATGTGAGGGTTGTATGTGTTTGAAAACACATTTTTGTGTGTGTTTGAAAACCTGCATAATTCAAAGCATTTTTGACGATGCCTTTAAAAATATCATGACTAGTAAAACCTCAGCTTTCTATAAGCAGAAAACAGGATAAAAAAATTCCTCAATTATCAAGAATAATATTTTCCCTACTGTCCACTTCACACATGACCAGAGAATAAAATAAAAATGAAAAAAATTCAGAAAGTAAAACCAAGTCCCATGGAGAACAGCTGGCTGCAAATTTCTTCCCAGGGAGCAAAATCGAGCAAAAGTAGAAATCAGAGGTAAACTATAGCTCAAGTTTTAAGGAACTTTAAATTCATACATTTAGGGGCAAGGGAAGAGTTCTTTAAGGAAAAGAACACCTATACAATTTTGAATATAAAATGACCACGTCAGTCAGGCATGGCAATGAATGCCTGTAATCCCAGCACTTGGGAGGCTGAGGCAGGAGGATTGCTGTGAGTTCGAGGCCAGCCTAGGGTACATAGTAAATTCAAGGCCGTCTAAACTATATCACAAGACCCTGCCTCAAAAAACAAACAAAATAGGGTTGGGGATTTAGCTCAGTGGCAACATGCCTGCCTTGCAAGCTCAAGGTCCTGAGTTTGATCCCCGTACCAAGAAATAAATTAATTAATTAAATTAAATGACCACATCCATTTAATGACATCTTGCACAAAAATTATATACACAAAATGCTTATGGCCCCTTGGATGTGCCCCCGAAAGTAAGAGGTCCTGTATTTTAAACTCTATTAATTTCACAGTAAATCCAGCCCTAGATCTATCCCCTCACATGCCCAGCCAGATTTAAGAATTGCTACAAAATAGTGACTCCTCCAATTTTTGAATGGGAGTGTTTTGCTCTGGTAATCATGTTCTGACAAACCTACTACTGTATACCAGGTGTCTGTCAGGCAAACAACTTGTCTTTCTAGTTTTTAGGTCTCTGGATCAAGAGGAACAACTTCCAAATCTGATACAGAGATAATCATGCATCACCTAGAAATCCTGAACTTTGAGTGTGGTCCATTTATTGATTGGCGCTTTTAGGTTGTCTCCCTGAAAAGGGAGTGTGTTTATTATGTACATTAAAGAGCTAGAATAACATAGTTGATGACCAAAAATGCAGATTTCCATGGTTACTACTACTAGATACTGAATGAGCAATCCTTACCAACTCTTGTTGGACATGTAGTATAAGAGAAATAAACCTCTGTCCTGTAAACTACTGGAAAGTGAGAAGTTGTTTCCTCTCCCTCCCACCTAGTTCTCTGCTAGATAGAGTTCTCTGCTAGATAAAATGACCCCTGCCTACAGGAAATGAGTCACTCCAGAGAGAACAAAGACCTGCTTTTTCCCACCTCACCCCCAGTCATAGCCAATCATCTGCTTCCACAGGCTGTCCCCAGAGAAGACCCACAATGGGACTATCAGCTAGGCCAGGCAGATGGAGGCCGAAGAGACCTTATGACTCTCTGCCTCATAAAAGGTTTAAGAAAGACAGCTCACAAGTCTGCTAACTTTGATAAGATTTAAAAAATAACTCATACCCATGAAGAAAATCCTGCAGTTTCTCTAGCGCCTCACTGAGACACTTCAGAAATAAACAAAAACTGATCCTACCTCAGGTTGACATGATCATCATTAACACTCACTTTATCTCTCAGTCAGCCCCTGATATTAAGAAAAAACTAAAAAAGGTTAAAGAGGGTCGAGCAGGACTTGCACTCAGATTAAAAAAAAAACTAAAAGGGCCGGGGATTTAGCTCAGTGGTTCCATCGCCTGCCTTGCAAGTGGAAGGACCAGAGTTTGAGCCCCGGTACCAAAAAAAAAAAAAAAGAAAGAAAAAAAAACTAAAAAGAAAAATAAGTAATGGATTAAAAACAGCTAGCAAAGCTCTGAAAAGCATAAAACAAAATAGTGAGGAAAAAAAACACTCCTGACTTTAAGAGCCAAGGCCAACGCTATGTTATCCCAAAACAAAGCCAGAGAAACTACAACTGTGCTCTACTAGACATCAAGAGATTTTACAAGAAAAATCAAGTTACAAATTCTAGCTAATTGATAAATGTATTTGTTTCAATTTGAGTTCACATTTAATTGGTGTGCTTAAAACATTTCTTGTACATTGTAAATTCTTGAATTGTAATTATAGGGTTAACTTGCTCTTTTCTGTACTTTGTTGATGAAGAACTCAAGGTTACTACTGTTCTATTGGCAGCCAGTCAACGTTTAAAATGTAACAATCTGAGAACAGGAAAAAAAAAGGACACTTTAAAATTTTAACAGCTGAAGACAACTTTGTTATAGAAGGTTTATAGTACGGGAGACGGAGGAAAAATATTTAAAAAGCTATAAGTACAACAGATATACTTTTGATTGAAAGGATTTTATATGTTTGTCTTGTTAGAAGGATAAAGAGACAAGACCAAAAGGCTGAGGTATGTTGAGAAAGTGTGCGGAAGTGATTTATCAAGGAAATATGTATGTTTGCTTGTTGGTTTCAAGTTTGTTATAAAAGGCTTACGTTTACAAACATAAAGAGCTTTCACTCCTTCTGATTCTAATTCTACAGGAGATCTCTGTTAATTGACTTACAAAACGTTTTGACTAGTCTTATTTATAACTGTAAACCTAAAAATTATAAAGAGATATTATAATTCAATTGGGCTAAATATATCTGAGTGCACTCTAGTTTTATAAATTGTCTTATATGTTTGTTTGTCCAACTGTACAGCTGTTTTGTTTATAGATAAAGGTTATTAAATTCAAGGCACACTCTCCTTAGTGAACAAAGGAGCAGCTGCATGGAAATATTTTCCAGTCTCTGTTCACAAGGGGGACCTCAACAGTTTTCATAGTCTTACAACAGACTGACCCAATAGTTTTCATAGCCTTATAAAAGACTTACATCAATAAATATTACTTAAATATGTTATTATACTATGGTTACATTGGTTGTCATCAAAGAGATAAATTCTAAATATGTTATGATATGTTTACACTGGTCATTTTCTTTTCTTTTTTTTTTTGGTACCAGGGATCGAACTCCGGTCCTTGCACTTGCAAGGCAGGCAACATAACCACTGAGCTAACTCCCCGGCCCATGGTCATTTTCAAAAGATTAAATTTCCTGTAAAAAAAACCAACCAAACAAAAAAGAACAATAACAAGGTTTTATTAAAAAGATGCTTTTGTACCAAACTGAATTAAAGGGCATAAGGTCTCATATATATAATTATAAAAATTATTATTGTTAATTTTCTGGCAGACTAAATGTATTTATGCTTTCTGACTGTACAGGTTTTCTAATTTTTTTTTATAGTAACCTCTTTTTGATTCAGGGATTTGCCTTTTTCATACACTTCAGCTATTTATGGTAACAGGTACACTTATGGGCTGAGATATTTTCGTTCCATGGTATCCTATCAAAGATAATAACTGAGATAAAGATTTTTGGTGTTTTTTTAAAAAAAAATGAGTATGTTTAACAAATGGCTATTTTATACCAAGATGGACATTTAAATGTGTTACAAAGATAAGGTCATCATGATTGTCATGTTAAAATACTATTTATGGCTCTTGATTTAAAGCTCTTTTTTCTCTGTTAACGTTTTACAGGAATTCAACTTCTAGAATAATCATGATTGATAATAATAACAGTCTTCTAACTATATTTTCTATTTCAAAGTGCTTGATATCCAGACAAGATTATAATAAGTTCAGTACTCCTATTGCAATGCTAATGTTATCGATCTTCTCTTCTAGGTGTTCAACTAAAGTTTGGAGACCAAAACTAAAAATGTAACTGGGCAATGAGAACAGCCAATATTTTGGCCCTGGCCCCTCAAGGTCAACAAAGATCCAAGACATAAGGGAACCTTCTCTACAGGATCCTACATCTTTGGTAAGTCACTCAACCTCCTGAGCAGGGAGATTGCTGGACACCAGAGGACAAATGTACCATGTGCCAAAGGAGGGTCACCAAAAAAAAAAATCTCTACATGGTCAAGCAAGGCCATGACCCATATCCTGATGGCTGACACTGACAGAGGAGCAGAGAGGATCTACACATGGTTCCAAAAAAATGGCCTGAGGAGACTTAACTGACCTTAATAGATAACAAGAGGTTCATATTAATAGACACAGGCCTCACTTTAACTTGGTCTTAAACATCCAGCAAAACAAAAAAAAAAACCCAAAAACCCCAAGAGGTATAAAAATAATGACATAGTAATAAAGCTAGATACAAATAGGGGGCTCCAATCACTGACCCCTTCTGGCAGTTTCCAGCTATACCAGTAGCTGACCACAGTTAGAGATCATTAAAAACTATGGTAAAATCTGTAAGAGCTCAGCTAGAGTTTTAAATTTCTTAGTGAGATTTGTTCTTCAAACTGTCTCTTGTTACAGCTAAAACTAGAGACTTATGACAAAGTATCAGACTTATAGATAACCTTTATCAATGAAAAAATCTAAGAGCCAACAGGTTACAATCACTCACTATTTCAGTATCTAAGTGTGACTTTCTCCCCGAGCTGCTCTTTCATTCTAGTGTGCTCATGCTTAGATATTTCATGCTCTAATTTCTTTAAAAATTTTGTTTATTCTTGCCTATAGGCTGCCAAATTCAAAGTGATCATATAGATAATATCAACAACAAATGTGCTAGACATTTTTTTTTTTTTTACCAATACTCACCATCTTAACAAGCGTGCCCTTCCTCTACTCCCTTTCCTAATGGGAGCTGGAGTTCTGGCAGGAATAGGCACAGGGGTTGCAGGAATCTCAACATCAACACACTTCTATTACTCCCTATCCCAAGAGCTAAATGAGGATATAAAAGGTAGGTGACTCTCTGGTCACCCTGCAGTTCCAAATCAATTCCCTGGCAGCTGTGGTACTCCAAAATAGACAAGCTCTAGATACAATAACAGCAGAAAGAGGGGGAACATGCCTCCTGGGGAAAGAGAGCTGTTATTTTGTCAATCAGTTTGGCATTGATGGAGACAAGGTGAAGGAGCTCAAGGAGCATACAGAAAAACATAGAAGAGACCTAGACTGGCTACACTCTCTACCAGGATACTTCGACCAATGGCTTCCCTGGCTTCTTCCTTTCCTGGGACCCCTCACTATCCTCTGCATAATCCTACTCTTTGGATACTGCCTGTTTCGTTGTTTTCAAATTTTCTTGCAGGAGCGGTTGCGGGCCTTTACCAATCTGACAGTCAGCAAACTCATTATGGCCAGGTATCAACCTCTTGCCACGGGAGACCAAACCACCATAATCACGTAGAACCCAGACCTGTTACCTTTTATCACCGCCCCTGTGCCAGCATGAAGCAGCTACAAAAAAGAGACCTCTGCCCCTATTCCATAATACTGTCAAAGACTGGAATGATAAGATTTTTCTGTTAGATAAAATGCCCCCTGCCTACAGGAAATGAGTCACTCCAGAGAGAACAAAGGCTTGCTTTTTCCCTCCTTGCCTCCAGTCATAGCCAATCATCTGCCTCCACCACACTCCCCCCAACCCTTATAAACCTCACCCAGTCAGCCCCTGGTTGCTGCTCTCGCCATTGTTCGAGACAGCCCAGCAGCTCTGTCCCTTAATAAAAGCCCTGCTTTGGGTTTGTGTTTTGGCTCATTTTATTTCTCTCAGTATATAATGTTCATTTTTTTTTTTGGTTTATGAATTTAGTTGTTTTTAAAGTTTAATCAAAATAACATCTAATGATGGCAGATAATCTATAATCTTACCCATGTCTAACAATCATCATCTCATATGTCTGAATCATTTTTTCAAGAAAAAATTTAACAGGCTGAAGATTATGTGCACTGCAGGCTTCATAAGCACATTTCAAAAAGTCCTGAAATAAAAAAGATGGAATCCATTTTTATACAATAGTATTAGAAATCATGTCATGAAAGTTTTATTTTTTCAAATTAAGAGGAAGAACAAATTGAAAGGAAGTTATTAATCATCACTGCATCATAGCATTGCTTCATAGCATCATGCTGCATAAAACCAATTCTTTTTAATAATGCTTCCTAAAATTCTATTTTTGGTTAGGATATGAAAGAATATACCAGAAAAGCCTTCACACTATAGTAACTAGAAATAAACAATAAAGCTAAAAATCATTTAAAATTCTTTCTTTTGAGACAAGATCTCACTATATAGTTCAGTGAACTGGCCGTGAACTCACTATATAGTCCTGGCTGGCCTCAAATTTGTGGTGATCCTCTTTCCTCAGCCTCCCAAGTGCTGGGATCACAGACATGCAACACCACACTTGGTAATCATTAAAAATTTAAAGACAGGACCGGGGATTTAGCTCAGTGGTTTCGTCACCTGCCTTGCAAGTGCAAGGTCCCAAGTTTGATCCCCAGTACCAAAAAAGACATAGAAGTACTTTGGCTACAAGTAAGTCTAAAGGAACTTAATTTCAAAAAAGGTTAAGCCTCTCCTAGGGTAAGCTCAGCTACAACTGTTTTCACTCCTGGTAACATTTTCTAAGTCTGGACATGGTGGACATTCAATTGGACCTACTATAGACAGAGGAGCTTTGCTAAAATAAGGAGAAACTAATAGAAATTGTAATGTTTATATGGCTAATGTACATTTTGTTGTGCCCAGATTACGAAGTCCCAAAGACCACCAGGAGGCCGTTTCCGAAGTAAGCACACGAGAGTCATTTATTCAAGCTTAAGCAGGGACTCTCAATTGTCACCGACACAGCGGATCAAGATTGAGAGCCCCGAGTTCCAAATTAGCAGGGTTTTTATTGAGATTACAGCAAGCTTCAGTCATTAGCAGCCATATGATTGGTTAACATTTAGCAAGTATGAAGTGTAGAATTTTGATTGGCTAGGCTCATTGGGGGTTGAAGGGGATTACGTATAGGTTTTTACAAGAAAAATGGGGACAAAGGTTAGTGGTCTACTGTCACGTACTGATGGTCAGCAGACATCTTGACTCATGGTCATGACCACCTTGTGTGGATAGTCAGCATGTTAACAGATTGTCCTATAGATAGTGGGCCCGGGACACTTGTTTCTAGGGCAAACAGATGGCTGAGTAATGAGCTTAGGAATCTTGAGTTACAGATCATGTCTTTTGTCCCAGATCAAGCACAAATTTGAGAGAACAAAGGAGACTGCTCCATTTTGGACAAAATGGAGTCATTCTGGTCCCACAATTTGAATCTGGAGGAACCCCAAATGTCCAGTTGGCGCTTCCCACTGCCCATGTTGTTTGGTTGTTTGTTTTCTACTCAGTACGTCAAAAGATCAAAGTTTCACCTAGAAAGGCATAAAGGAGTTCTTTAGTCTTAGGATGCTTAGATCCCAAAATACTGCTGGAAAGAGGATATAGCAGGATAATTGTCACTTCAAAGACATTTGAAGTCAAAGGTTAACTATAGCTCAATAATGCTGCAATAAAACTCCAACAACTCCTGATTGAATTGATCAGCAACTCAACCTAGTAACCCAAGAGAGGACAATACATAGTTTTCTATAGGAAAATACCAGTTTAGCCTCTACAATTATAGCACATAGTTTAATGCTTACCATGAAATCAAAACATGCAAGTCATAAGAAGTAGCTAAGGACTAAGAGACGAAACAGTAACCAAAAACAAACTCACAGATGATTGCTATATCATAATTATCAGGCAAGAACTTTTTTAAAAAACTTTTTTTGTGTTGTGCTGGGAATCAAACCCAGGGCCTCTTGCATACCAGGTAAACATTCTACCACTGAGCTATACCTACAGCCTTAAAGCAACCTTATTATAAAGTATAAAGTATAAAAGAAAATGGAGCCAGGCATGGTGGTACATGCCTATAACCCCAGTACTCTGGGAAGCTGAAGCAGGAGGATGGCAAGTACAAACCCAGCCTGGGAAATTTAGCAAATTAATGAGACTTTGTCTCAAAACAAACAAAAAAATTAAAAAGGGCTGGGATGTAGCTTCATGTAAAGATCTTGGGTTCAATTCCTAATAGTGGAGCAGAGAGGAAAGACAGAAAAAATAGATGACAAGATAAAGAATTTCAGTAGAGAAGTGGAGTCTCTAAAAAGAACCAAATCAGATATACTATAACAGAAAAACAAAATACATGAAGTTAAGCATTCTTTGAGGGCTGAGGATGTGTATCTCAGTGCTAGATCACACAGGCCTAACACATGTAACCACGCATATGTGCACACGTGCGTGCACACACACACACACACAAATTCACTGGATGAGCTTATCAGAAAACTGGACAAAGCTAAAGAAAGGGTCACTAATCTTAAAGATAGGCAAATAAAAAGTAACAAACTAAAACATATAGAGAAAATAATTTAAAACAAACATAAAAATCAGGGCATAAGAGATAGGTGAGACAGAATAAAAGGTCTAATAAATGCATCATTAGAACCTGAGAAGAAGATGGTAGAGAAAATAGAGAAAGAAGTATTTTAAATATTTTAAAAGATAATTACTGAGAAATTTTGGGAGAAACATTTCAACATACAGATTCAAGAAAGGATAGTAAATCCCAAGGAGAATAAGTAAAATAAAACAAAAAAACACTAGGTACATAGTTAAACAGCTCAAGACCAAGCAAAAAGAGAAATTATTAGAAATAGCCAGAGGGGGGAAAAGCACATTATTACATTCAGAGGAGCATAAATAGGAAAAGGCCTAACTTCTTTTTTTTTTTGGTACCAGGGAATCAAACTCAGGACCTTGTGCTTGCAAGGCAGGTGGCGACACCACTGAGCTAAATCCCTGGCCCAAGAGGCCTGACTTCTAAACACAACAGTGAAAGGCACAATGGAATAATATCTCTAATTCCGGGGGGGGCCGGGGGGGGCCGGGGGTTGTCTCAACTCTGTTAATCTAGACCAGATTTTTTTTTAACTCTAGACTCAGTAAAATATTCTTCAGAAATTAAGGTTAAATGAAGACATTCTCAGACAAACAAAAGCTAAGAGAATATGTTGTCAGAACACCCATATACATACAAGAAAGACTAAAGTAAGTTCTTTAGATCAAATGAGAAAAGATCTCAGATGAAAGCACATTTCTACTGAAAGAAAAAAACAGCACTAGGAAGATAATGTAAAAGTTTTTCTTTACAAATACTAATACCTAAAGCAAAAAAAGAAAAAAGTATTGGGGCAACAACAGCACAATGGACAAGGATGAGTAGAAAATTGTATCATTTAAAGTGATTGTATTTATGTGAAATGATAGAATACTAACTTAAGGTAAATTGTAATAAATCAAGGTACATACTATAATTTGTGAAGCAACCGACCCCAAGTTTCAACAGAGAAGATAAAATGAAGTGTTAAGTTTGGGGTGTGGCTCAATGATAGAGCACTCACCTATCATTTATGAGGCCCTGGGTTCAACCCCCATCACTACACACACACACATATACACACACACACATCCAAACACACACAGGAGTGATAACTAGATAACCATAACTGGAAATCTAAAAGAAGCTAATAAAGGAAGAACAAAGGAAGATAGAAAATATTTAAAAGCAAAATAATATTCTTAATACTATTTTCAAACTGAAATCTATGCATCTATTGCTATATTCATGTAAGTATAAAAGTTCTTCAAGAGGACACTAAAATTTTGAATTTTCATTTTGATTCTTTAAAAAATAAGATTAGCATATGTGAATCATATTGATAATCACCTTTACTTGGCACTGCCATAGATGTATATTAATATTTGAGAGTGAGAATTATTTTAAAAGAGTCTAATAAAGTGACACCTTTAATCAAATAAATGCCTCAACACATCAAATGAAGAGAAAATTTTTCAGTAAATCAGCAGACAGAAATGGTGGGAGAATTGAATCATCATATAAAGAAAGCTAATATATGCACACTGAATTCAAAAGAATCTTTACTGTATATTTTACAATAAATATTGCCATAAACTGACAATTTAGTTTCAGCCACAAATTATTTACTTAATTTAATTGTACTAGACGAGATTTTATTGAGATTATTTTATTAGTAATTAATTTTAATCTGATTTTATATTGTGGCACACCTTCATTGTATTCATGGACAGGTTTTTACATACTGAAGGTTTCTGACAACCCTACATCAAGCAAATCTACTGGTATCATTTTTTCAAAGTAGCATCTATTCACTTTATGTCTCTATTACATTTTACTAATGCTCACAATATTTCAAACTTTTTGATTATTATTTTATCTGCTCTTAAGATCTGCAATTAGTGATCTTTTATGTTACTGCTGTAATTGTTTGGGGGGACCACAAACCTTGTCCATATAAGGTAACAAACTTAATCATACAATATGTGTGTTCAAATTTCTCCAACTACCAATGGTTTTGTCTCTCCCAGTCCTCAGGCCTCTCTATTCCCTGGGACACAACAATACTGAAATAGGCCAATTAATAACATCACAATGGACTCTCAGTGTTCAATTTAGAGGCAGACTTTTACATCTCTCACTTCATCCTCCAGGAGCAGAGCAGAGAAGAGGTTTTAAAAAGTTTTAATTAGTCCAACATGGCATGAGCGAAACTCCAAGGAAAGACACCAGATAATGCAGGTGTCTCTGCATTATTCTGAAATGGGGAAGGCAAACATACCCAGATACAGAAAATCAATTTGAAGGACAAATCCCCTAGGTCACATCAAATACCAGGATGGCTGGGAAGGGAAGTAGGGCTGCTGCCAGTCTACAGAACCTTCCACATCCTTTACCCAGCAAACATGCACCTTTGGGAGTAGTTCTAGCATCCTGAGGGAAGGAGCCAGAGTGCTACAGAGGCTAGACTCCGGAGATAGGCTCCCTACATACTCTTCCTCCCACCTGAA